TCTCAAGCTCGTATCGCACAAGCAAGATAAAACTGTAATAATAAGAAAAATCTAACGATAATAATAAATGATTCAACCAATAAAAATCAAAGAAACAGATCTAGTGCAGGGGGCCACACTCAATCATTACGGCAGGCCTCATACACAGTATCATGGGTATACTTTATGCTAGCCTGATAACACTAGAAAAATCTGAAGGGTATATCTAGCCCGCTCTCGTGCGAGAATTAAACGTTATTTCATTTCATAGGCCAGATAATACTTTTTAAGTAAGTAATAGGACATTATGAGCAGTAGATTTAGTCTACTATCGTGGTCTGTTAAGTTCGTAAATATACAATTCAGTAAAAAAAAAAAACTAATGGTTATGTATTATCTGTAAGGCATGAAAAAGACGTTCATGTTTTTTATATGAAATATAGAAAAGGCTATCTGATTCCTTAATAAATAATTAATAAATAATATATATATTATATATTACACACACGCCCCCCCCACACACATATATATATTTATATTTATAATATATATATTTTTTTTATTGTATATCGTATTGGATTCCAAAAGAAAACTAATCAGCAATCTAAATCCTCTCATGAAAATCAATAATTTCACGCGGATGTGGAAAAAAGAACGGACAGCCGAAGAAAAACATCTAGTATAAACACATTTCCTTCTTTAAACGCCCTCTTATCAAAACCGAAAAAAGGAAGAAAGAATTCAAACCATCTTCTGAATTATCTTTCACAAAATCTAAGAGAACATCGTGAAGAACTCCCAGCATGTACAAGGATCAATGAACAACCTCGCTAAGAACACACGATAACATCCTTGAACCTCGCTATCTGCAACAACTATGCAATCTCATCATGCATTTCGCACAAGTAGACGTGGTATACTATGGAAACATGTGCAGTATGCCTGCCTGTGTGTTCTTGCATGGGACTGCGTCTTGATCCTCTTGTGTATGTATGCGGTGTGAGCGTGTGTGTATGAGCGCGTGTGCAGGTTTTTATATCTACATAACCTCCCACCAGGTATGCTGTTAGAGATCAGACCTGTTCCACCTGTGTCATTCCGCGCAGCTGACCAGGCAGACGAACCGAGAGAAATCTGTTATAGGGCGAAGTTGGCTGAAGATTCACGTGCAGACACACACCAAAGGCACACAGTCACAGACACAGTCACAGACACAGTCACAGACACACACACACACACACACACACACACACACACACAAGCGCGAGCGGAAATGCGAAAAATACAAACAAGAAACAACATACCAGGAAAAATGTGTGCAAATACTCATGTTGATCAGTTCATCTATGTTTACTTATACCGGCATATTCATCTTCCACTTCAATTATATATGCAAACTCAATATATATGCGTACAAACTCACAAACACATGTCCGTAAGTCCATACTTCTATATATACAATACGAATATTTATGCGGATACAAATATCTAAAAAATATTTACATAGTTTTAAACTCATGAATAACCATTCACACTCTACTCCGATATGTCTTAACAATTGTTATTACAACAATTTTATCTTTTTCCCTCGACATCAGGTAAAGGGAAAAAACCCGTTCACAGCGGCCGTTGCACCAGACTCGCAGCAGAAGCAGTTACGACCGTGTTATTTCGTTTTTTCTTTCGGTTGCTTGCTGAATTTCCATATGAAAAGACCGTACGAGTTGCATTCACAGCATTAAGAAGAATTTAAATCGAAAATGACCATGAGGTAATGTCTAAACCAAGGTGGACCATGACGAGTATGTGATTACATAAACGAGATGATCAGTAATGATAAAGATAATAATAATATAAGTAACGGCAGTATCAGTAATAATAATAATGACTATAACAATCGCTGTGATTTCAGGAAAATGATACTGATGAAAATTTTGTAAACAATAACAAATAACAAACAGCAATAAAAAAATAATAATTATAATGACAAAATAACAATGATAATGGTAATAATACTAATGATACTAATTCTCATTACCATTATTACCATCATCATTAATATTTCTATAATCATCATTATCATTATTAACCTTAGTCAATATCATTGTCATTATCATCATTATTACTATTACCATCACCATTATTATTATTATCACTATCATTATTACTATTATTATCACCATTATTATAATCATTATTATTATCATTATTATTATTATTACCATTATTACATTCATCATTACTATCAATTTTATAAAAAAAACGATAAGAATTATCGTTTTTTTATAAGTATTTGTGCAAATAAATCGATTCTAAATAAATGAGTGTACACAATAAATACGTCATTATACAAATGGATGCATAAACAGGTGTAGAAACACTTTTACGGGAATGAGTACGGACATTCAACACGCCAGTAACATTAAAATTTAAATTAGTTTTATATAACAACAAGAAAACACTTTTGTTTGGCGTGTGAGGAACAGACATCCGAGCAAGTTCTCGCCTGCAGACTTTCTGT